CTGATATCTGACCTTTCCCCTACTGCCCTTTGACCTCCAATTTCGCACTGGTGATGGGTTTCCTCCCCATCACACTATACACCGAATATTGGATGAGCCTTTGCGATTTGTGCCGCAATTCGTATTTCCTCCTATACCTTAAGTTAAGGGAGAAATATTCCCCCTCCATTGACACATCTCGACCTTCGACCCTTGACCCCCCAAATTCAACATCCCGAGTCCTTTTTGCGGAGTCCCCCCCCCCCAACGTCCCGAATATCAAGACCGTACGTCAGGCAGTTAAGATTTGTGCCCAACTGTTGACGGACGCACGGACGGACGAACAGATCATGCGATTCTACAAGCTGCATCTGACTCCGTCAGCTGAGCTAAAAATGTAGGTACTCGCTAACACGGCTGAAACTACCAGCTCGGATGGCCAGTGTTTTTGCCATGTTGTACTGGCCCTCCAAATAATTTGCCGGCATATGCCGGTGGGCCGGTGCTAATTTTGCGCCCTGCTAATGTGCATTAGTCATGTAAGTAGATGCCCTGTAGATGTCTAGTGAGCATGAAAAGTAAGAATCGTCATGTTAAGAAATTGTGCCATTTCGAGTATTTTTAATTAATGTCTGTGTCACGCTTATTCAGGCCTGCTGCCTATGGACACCCTGTTCTGTTGCAAAACAGAATATTTAGTGTCATATACTATAATGTATCTATCCGACTATAATTTACTGTCACCGTCCGGCTGTCTAATGGCATTGGCGAAAAGCTGGCGGCAGTGACAAATGTCGGTCTCCTGCTAACATTTGTAAATTGGCTGCACTACACACACGTGTATCCACATACATTCATAACCATTTCCAGGAAAAGTTTGATGCACAAAATTCTGACTTTTTCTGAAAATTTCTAAACTTTTCTTAATTTTTAAAACGTTAGCCATACGAAAGGTTAAGCATACATAAGTATTTTACTCCCTAGTTCATCAATTTTTTAAGGGTACTGCTCCACTGGATCAATATTGCGTGAAAGCTGTGTTACTGTTGTACTGGCAACTATACTACAGACTCCTACGCATACACGTTGCAATGGAAATGTTGTGCAATTCGGAATAATTGCATGATTACAGCGATACTGCGAGCAAGCGTAAACCATGAGGATGAGGATGCTTCAGCAAGCTATCGTACAGTCACGATCAATATAGATGCTAGGGAGTAGCGCAAATTGGCATATTGCGACATGGTGTCTTGCACAGTAACTGAGTAAGCATGCCCCGTCACATAGGTTGCACTGAGGAATTTTTATTATGATTCAGATTTATCCTCTTTGAGCATTACACTGTCACTAGCTAATTTAAAATTTGAAGATTGAGGTGGTTGCCATTATTTGGCAAATAGCTGGACAGACAACTGGCTGCTTGGAAAAGTACAACTTTTTGATTCTGACATGTGCATTGACACACATGCACACACGCACAAATATAAACAGCAAACAGCCGCGACTCACATTTTGTAGTAGAATACTTTAGACTCCCCGCTGTTTGCGTTTGGTATTAGGTGTTTGTCGAGCACACCAAGAATGTCTCCGCAGATGTCGTTCAACTCCTTCTCAACCTGCAACACGAGGGCACAGAACCATTTTTCCACGTACACTACACACTGTACACGCGTTTCTCCAGCCTAACCCTCGCATTTTACCAGCTAGTACTACCATGCCTTCCTCCCTGCCATCCCGGTCCCCCACCCCCAGTGCTCCCCTTTTTAAAATGTGTTTGCGAAAAATGCATAGCCCTCTGCACCTGTTACACTAGCTACTACATGACATTGTGTAGTCACGTCATCTCAGTCTCCCTCTCTTCCTGTACATGCCTTTCCTCTTGTGAGATTTTTGGTTATCCCTTCCACATACCCTTCCACACATTTCCAAGCTGTTATGGATTTTAACAAATAACCCTGCAAGTGCAACACGAGACCACAAAACCATGTTACCATGTATGCTCGCTACACTGCACTGCACCAGCATTTCTAGCACATTGTTAACCCCACACTTTTACCCTCTCACCTGCCGTCTCCTCCTGTCTTCTGCTCCTCTGCAAAATTTATCAATTTTCCCTTACACAACAAGCATTTCTCCACATTCCCTGCCACCGTGACATTTTCCCCATTTCCCCCGTCCCCTTCGAGATATTTTCTCTCCCCTCCCCCCCCCCTCGACTGCTTTGCACACACCCAAGGCTGCGGCTGCTAACCAATAACGTGACCCCTAGCCCGCTCGCGCCACGCACCTGCTTTCGGTACTCCCGGATCATGTCGAGCCGTTTGTCTCCCTCGCCCTTGTTCTCCTCCTTCTGTTCGATGCTGGAGATGATGCGCCAGGACGCTCGCCGAGCACCGATCACGTTTTTGTAGGCTACTGACAACAGGTTCCTCTCCTCCACCGTCAACTCTATGTCCATCGACGCCACCTTCTTCATGCTCTCAACCATCTCTGAAATAATTAACAACGCACGCCGTCAAAGCTATTGAACAGGTGGTAAAAATTTGCTCTTTTCATCTTACTTCCACCGTCGAGGAATCGCTGCTGTTGAAAAAGATGCTTAAGGGTTCGATATCAACATATTTCCTTATTTATACGACAAGCAGGTCTTCTGGTAGAAAGATGAAGTATTCACAAACTAACAATTACATTGCAGGGGGTTGAAATTAAGAAAAAACAAGTCTACCCTAGGAAAAGTGACAGTCAATTCAGTAAGTTTTAGGTTTTCTGGGAAAAATTATTGCTAAGGTAATTAAATAATAGATATTTAGTCGCAGGTTCACAGTAAAATACTGAATAATGAACGATCATTTTTCCCCAGCTTTTCCAATAGAAAACTCCACGGTTACTTTCCTTTTCCATGAAGCACACAGGTCTGCTTAGAATAGTCCCAAAACAGTGGAAATATATTAATTTCCATCCCTGATGCCGCTTTCATACTGCGAACGACTTTAGCCCGCTTCTGAAGCGGGATTACTTTAGCTCGGGATAAGTCGTTTCATACTGCGCACGACTTTAGCCCGCTTCTGAAGCGGGATAACTTCAGCTCGGGATAAGTCGTTTTATACTGTGCACGACTTTAGCCCGCTTCTTAAGTCGTTTCATACTGACGTTAGCTCGGGTCTGAAGCGGACCTAACCACCCCTTAGAGCGGGATAACTTTAGCTCGGGCTAAGTGTTTTTCGACCTTTATTACTGGGGTTTATCCCGCTTCAGGTCCGGACCTGAAGCGGGA